TTTCTCGCTGCAATCAGAGAGACGAAATGATACCGGTTGGCGAACGCCTTCGGGAAGCCAGTCGGCCGATGTATCTTCTCTTCTCTCGATGAAAGCAAAAGTAAGGATGCGGACATGGAATGTCCTCACAATGTTTGAAGCTGGCTGGCAAGGCTGCCCAGATTGTAAAGGACATAGAATTGCCATAGCCATAGAATTGCTAGGAATCTGTGAAGAATCAGCAGATGGAATGGAAGTGGACTCTCCAGACTGGCAACTGGAGAGGAGAATCAATAATTTACTCCGATATTGTGACGCAGATGACAATCACGAGCACACTGAGTTTTGGAATGACTATCATGATGTCTCCAAGAGTATCGAAGGCTCTCATGCAGTGGGAACCAGTCTCCAGCAAGATCAACTGAAAAGGAAGGAAAGTCACAATCATTCAATGCTCTATTACGCTGCCCACCTACAAATAATGCAGATCAAGAGAAGAAGGAGGGATACTACAGACAACTGCAATCAGTGATAGACAAGACTCCAGTTGGCGACACCGACATCAAAATTCTAATGTGCGACATGAATGCCAAACTGGGAGCGGACAACATAGGAAGAGAACTCATCATGCATCGAGAAGCACTCCGTGAAATGAATGAGAACGGGGAACTGTTTGTAGACTTCTGCACATTCAACGATTTGGTGATTGGAGGCAGTGTGTACAAACACAAGGATATTCACAAAATGACAAAGATTTCACCAGACACCAGGACACACTAAAAATCAGATCGACTTCATCTCAATCTGAAGAAAGTGGAGACACAGCCTACCGGATACAAGATCAGATCAAGAAGGGGTTCAAATGTAGGTGGTTCACACCACTCACTATCTAGTGCAAGGAATTAGCCTTCAAAATCAAGTTGAAAGCCATCACAGAAGTTGGTGATAGATCACGGTCCAAGTTCAACACCCACCCAGACCCGAAACTGAAGAACAGAACTACAAAGAATATCTTCACGTCAGTCATCAGTACAAAATGGGAGATATTGAACAACATCCCTGAAGGATCGGGCGTGGAAGAACGCTGGAACTCTTTGAAAGCTATGTGGAAGGAAACCCGCATAACCGCACTAGGAATAAAGAAGCCAAGGAATGGATCTCGACGGATTCATGGAAGCTGACAGAATAGGGGGAGGCAGATGGTGAAGCAGAAGATGAACCAATGCAGGCAAGGATGAACAACGAAAAGAGGAACTGAACACAACCTATTAAGCACTACACTGGACAAAGAAGTGAAGAACGGTGCACACAAAGACAAAAGACACTTCTACGACACATTTGCAAGTGAAGCAGAACAGGCTGCAGGTAGTAGAGACAAGGATCTGACAACATTGTATCAAATAACCAGGTTACTAACTGTCTGGGAAGAAATCAATGCAGATGAAACCAATGAATGATAGTGAAGGAAACCTAATTACCCAAGAGGGAAAACAAAGGAAACAGTGGGTCGACCACTTCAAAAAACTCTTGAATCGATCACCACCACCTGGAAATCGTTCACAAATACCGCCACCAGCCCAGCCAAAGAATTACCACTGAATACAAGACCTCCGACAAAAGCAGAAGTGAAGTGCTGAACGCCATAAAGTTGCTGAGATCCGGGAAAGCAGCTGAACCAGATGGTATTTCACCAGAAGCACTGAAAACAGACGCAGAGACAACAACGGATATGCTCACACCACTAGTGCAGAAAATTTGTAATGGAGGAAAGTGAGGTATCTGCTAATTGATTAAAAGAAGGGCAACCTTGTAAAGCTTCCAAAGTAGGGTGTCCTAAGTCTTTGCAAGCAGAAGAACTGGCGCAGAACCATGTTGGTGTCCACCCGGAGCTGTCCACATCAAGCATAATATTACGCCGCATCATCCTAGAGAGACTAAAAGGGGCTCTGGATTCAAAATTATGACCGGAAGAGGGTGGGTGGTCTTAGGAATTATAAACCTTGTGGGATCAAATTGCAAGGCTACACTGCGCATTATCATAGAACCGAGCATAGAATGGCGGTCAACGGGATTTTTACTGCAACTTCATCGATTTTGAAAAGGCCTTTCACAGAGTCCACCGAGAAGTAATTTGGCAACTGCTTCAACACCACGCTTTTAGAGACACAAACCTTCACCAGTCTCATTCAACAGCTGTACGACGACGCCACATGCCGAGTGATTCACATTGGAAAGCTCAGTGATGTTGCCTTTGAAGTGAAGTGAAGACATGAGTAAGACAAGGCTGCCTACTGTTACCGATGATCTTCCTGATTGTGGTTGACTGGATCATGCAACAGACAACTGTGAGGAACGAGAAAAGGGACAAACGCTGACCCGACCGATGGAAAGACCTTAGAAGGTTTGGATTTCGCAGATGATGGTTTATGTTTAATGTCTCACAAACTCGAAGATCTACAGGCAAAATCCAGCAAGTTGACAGAAAAGGCAGTGAAGACAGGACGTCTTTCAAGTGAACGTAGAGAAGACAGAGGTGATAAAGATACTCAACCAACAACAAGCATCGATCACCATTAACGGATGAAAGGTAAAGGAATTAGTCTCTTTAATCTGCTTAGGCAGCATCGTTTCATTTACAAGCGGCCACACAGATGAGTATGTCGAAACCACAATCGGAAAGATAGCAAGACAGTCCCTCATTAATCTGAAACCAGTGTGGAGATCTACTCTGCTCCAGTCCACTCAGCATAAAGCGTAAACAAGATCCGGATTTTCAACGCTAATATCAGTTAAGTCAGTGCTTGTATGTGATGGTTTCGTTTCAAGCGCTGATCTAATGATGCAACTGTGCTTTTTTATTCAGTGGTACACTGTTATACGTTTATCATATGAAAAATATATTTGTCAAGCTTTATGGAATGGCATCGTTCAATAAAAAAATTGTTTTCTTCGCTGAATTTCTTCTTTTATAATCTTTTCTAAAATATATCAAGCAAATAATATCAACGAATGTCTTCGATAGAGGAAAGAAGAATGACTATTCAATGAAACACTGTAGGATTCTTATTCGTGTATTCCACTGATGGCTTCTTCATGATCTGAGACTAAAAATGTAAATGGATCATAGAACTTTTGGTGTTCTCCCCTAATTCTTGAGTTTTATAAATTCTGATCGTAAACTTGACGAATGTGTTACTTGTATTAATAAAGTAGCAAGTGATAAAACATACAACTTACCCATGTATAGTAATGATGGGTAGTGGGTAGCAGTGGAATCTAGGATGCGCTTTTCGTCCTATTTGGGACTCGTCAGCTTGATGAATTTGCCTCCCTGTGAATGATATTGTTCCCAACAGAGACTGATCAATTCGGTCCAATCACTGACGGTGTAATACAAGCAATAAAACTCATACAACTTGTCATAAAATAAGCATATTATGAAATTATTATTTTTATTATTATTTGTCCCTTGGGTTCCTAGTGGAACATAGGGCTTCAGTAGCACGCCCCCAGTGACCTCTGTTCTCTGAGATCTTTTGAACCTGGTCCCACGACAGCCCACAACCTCTCATTTCCTCCTCGCACGACCTCCTCCATGTCACCCTCGGACGTCCAACTCGTCGCTTCCCATGGGGATTCCACTCGAGTACCTGGCCTGACGCGTGATGTCCTCAGTCGGCCTTCTCAGTGCATGGCCAATCCATCTCCACTTCTTCCTGCATATTTGTTGGGTGATAGGTTGTTGGTTGGTTCGTTCCCAGAGCTCCTTGTTGCTTATTCTAACTATTCTGGCCATCTGATCTTCAGTACCGAGAGAGCGTAAGCAGTTGTTGATGAATGTCTGTAGTTTATTGGAAATGCCTTTCGTGATGCGCCAAGTTTCTGAACCATACAAGAGCAATGACTTGACGTTGGTGTTGAAAATCCCTATCTTGTTCCACATGCTGAGTGCAGAAGATCTCCACACTGGTTTCAGGCTAATGAACACCTGTCTTGCTTTTCCGATTCTGACTTTGACGTCCTCGTCCGTCCCGCCTGTAGTTGAAACAATGCTTCCTAGATAAGTGAAGGAGGTTACTTCCTATAAGTTTCTCCCGTTGACGGTGATTGGAGTTTGTTGTTGTTGTTGATGGTGGTGGTGCGGTGTCTTCATCACTTCTGTCTTCTCTATATTTACCTGAAGTCCCGTCTTGGCTGCCTCTTCTATCAACTTGTTAGTTTTTGCCTGCAGATCTTCAAGTTTATGTGACATTAGGCACAAGTCATCGGCGAAATCCAAGTCTTCTAGGTTCTTTTCCGTCGTCCAGTGTATCCCCCTCTTCTCGCTGCCTACTGTTTGCTGCATGATCATATTATGAAATAGAAATGTGAAATTAATGAAGAATTTCAGTTTTTTTTCTCATCGGATTTCATTATATACAAATAACGAAGAATTAAAACAAATGTGGTTTCTTAGCATTATCTCAGGCTAAAGTATATTTATCATTCCCAAGAAAAAAGCATATTTCTCAAAATTTTTTATTCTCCATCACTGGGTAGTATTTTTTTTTCATGTTGGTGACAGATCATAATGTAAAGTTACTACTATGAACAGTCTACTCCGAAATAGATTATTATTAGTAATTCTGTTTCATTTACATATACAAAAAAAAAGATATAGCGCATAATCTGCTTGATCGCTAGAAGTGAAATCGTTCTATTTAAAACTCCTCAGCTGGATACATTTATCTCTCATTGAGCTGTTTTGTTCCCAGTGGAAATCAAACCAAGTGTCCATCACTTAGAACACTGAAGCAGTGTCAACTAGGTCACTGAGATACAACAGACATCTTATTTCAATTTTGATTTCTATGATTGTTTACATAACTACTCGTTGTCATGGTTAAGAATTGGTTTTTTTACATAATATTTTTCCCAGAATTTTCATAAAATGCCTATTACTAAATAATAGAATAATATTTTGCATATCTTATTGGCACCAGTTACAAATAAGTAAAATTATATTTGACTGTTTGAAACAGGCTGTTAGAAACTGGGTGTTTAGATGGTGATCGAAGAGTTCAAGAAGCCGCCTTAGCAGCATTACGTGCACTCTGTTTATCTGATGAACGTATCCGCCATGTAAGTCGTTATTGATGAAATTTCTAGTTGTGTTATTCGTTTATAATTATTTTTCCTTTGGGTTCCTAGTAGAACATAGGGCTTCAGTAGCACGTCGCCACTTCACCATCTTCTCTCCAATCTTTTTAACCTGGCTCCACGACTAACCAGAAGCTTTCATTTCTTCCTCACACCATCTCCTCCATGTCACCCTAGGCTGGGACGCCCAACTCGTCGTTTCCTCTTTGGTTTCCACTAGAGGACCTGGTCTCGCCTGATGCGTGATGTCCCCAATAGGCCTTCTCAGTGTATGCCCAGTCCAATCCATCCCCACTTTCTTCGTCTGCATATTTGTTAGGCGATAGGTTGTTATTTGGTTCGTTGCCAGCCAACCAGAGTTTCTTATTGCATATTCTTATTATTCTGGCCTTCGTGTCTCATCTTCAGTATCGAGTGAGCGTAGTTGGCAGCTGTAGATGGTGTATATCTTCAGTTTGTTGTATATGATTTCCGTAACGCGCCAAGTCTCTCAACCATCACACAGAAGCAATGACTTAACTGACATTGGTTTTGAAAATTCGAATCTGGTTCATGCTTTATGCTGAGTGGAGTAGAGTAGATCTCCACACTGGTTTCAGATTAATTAGCGACTATCTTGCTGTCTTTCCGATCGTGGCTTTGACATCCTTATCAGTGCCGTCACCTGTAGTTGAAACGATGCTGCCTGAGCATTGTATGATTGTAACTTTCATTTTTATTTGAATCTTGCTATCATGATCCCGGAGGAGATTGGCTCCGACTGTATGAAAGCCTTCGATACTCTTGGAGACATCATGATAGCCATTCCAAAACTCAGTGTGCTCGTGATTGTCGTCTGGATGACAATATCAGTCTAGATCATTGACTCTGTAATTACCAGTAATTACCATTCCATCTGCTGACTCCACGCAGATTCCTAGCACTTCTGTGGCATATCTACTCATCTCTTTGGCGATCTGGGCAGTCTTGCCAGCCAGCTGCAAACATTTTGAAGACATTCTATGTCCACATTCTTACTTTCGGTTTCGTTGAGAGAGAGAGAGAAGACACATCAAGTTGTTATTCATCGTAGACTGACATCAATTGGAAGAATTAAGGAAACCTGGGAGCACTGGACAGCTGTTTCGTCTGACTAGTATGGGACTCCTCGGCAGTGCGCACCCACTATCCCGCCTTCCAAGTATCGAAACCGCGACCTTCAGGTTCCATGACCAGCACGTTAACATTGAGCCACTGTATCAGAATCCAACCGTCCATATTTCCAACTTCTGTTGGCTCACGATATAGCGCAACCGCCACCGGATGTCATCGTTGAGTAACTGTCCTCACGACCATTAGGCCTCGCCCCCACCGGTCATGACTTCTTGTTGTTCCTCCAGCTGATGTCAGTCTACGATGAATAACAACTTGAAATATTTCCAAATCCCCACAATTCCCTTAAAATTCAGAGGACACATCAGCCAATTGGCTTCCCGAAGGCTTTCACTAACTGGCATCGTTTCGTCTCCTCGATTCCAGCGAGGAGTTATTTTATTTTTTGTATTTCGTCTTTGGTTTGAAGTTTCTTTAGCGATATGATTGATTTTGCATGATAAGGCTGCTTTCTCCTCGCCCAACCTTCCCTCTTTATTCTGGGCCTAGGACCGCCCAGTTAACTCAAATGTTGCTATTATCTAATATGCATAACAAACATTTTAATTCGTTGGAAATAAAATGAGATTTTTCTCTCTTCAAGTGTTTAGTAGCTTATAACTGAACAAGATGATGAGTGAAGTTTTGGCTCATTGGTCTTGATTGTTGGCTTTCAGTAGCTGGTAACATAGGTTCAAACCGTGATCTGCCTACTGAGATTTGGTCAACCGAGTTCGTATCATAAACCCCTCATAGTATACGTGTGACTCGTTGCCAATGTTCATAAAGTTGTACTTTGTCTTTGAGAGAGTTCATTTGGCGCTTAAGGTGAATAGGAATTAAGATATTCATATTTTTTCTAATGAACTGCTTTTCCAACCGTTAAGTCTCAGGAGATATCGAGGCATTCGTATAGTAGTCTATATACCGGCATAGGTGGATCAATTGAATGCAGAATAACGGGAGAGAATTGCAAGTATCAACAAATAATGACAATATCTGTTATCGGTTAGAAAAGAGGGTGGTTCTAGTGCCCAAGTGTTGGTGTTTGAGTCTCAGTGGGAACAATATCACTCATAGAGAAGCAGGTGCATCTAACTAGAGAGTTCCAAATAGAACATAGTAAGCCTTCTAGATTCCATTGCGAATTGCAATATAGTAAAATAATTATTGTTTACTTTAATTTGTCTAATGTTCAGTTCACTTCTCTTCGGGAGTACATTAGTGCAAAGGTTTATGTGTTAATAACAGGTTTTGAATGTCCTTGGTTAAATTACGAGTCAGTTTATTGATGTGTAGTTCTCAAGCATTCGTTAACAAAGAGTTGAAACATTTTTTTAAAAACAGTTTATAACTTTTAGAATCCTCTTCCAGGGTATTGATGTATCGAAAAACAGTTTTATAGGAAGTCTGTTATAAAACTATTAACAGCTCATTATTTTAATGTGATTAAGAAGCTTATACTGATATCATTTGGAGAAAACCATTGGAAGCTCAGTGATGCCGTTAAGGTGAAGACAGGAGTCAGAAAAGACTGCATACTATAGTGGGCTGGATCATGTAACAAACAGTGAGGAGCGAGAAGAAGGGGATACGCCGGGCCGCAGAAAAAAACCTAGAAGATTTGGATTTCGCCGATGGCTTGTGTCTAATGTCACACTAACTTGAAGATCTACAGGTGAAAACTAACAAGTCGACAGAGGAGGCAGGGCAGGGCAGGGAAGACGTGACTTCAAATATACAGAAGTAAGTGGAGATGGATTGGGCATGCACTGAGAAGACCGACTGGGGACATCACGCGCCATGCCAGGTTGTTGGGTAGAACCCAGATGGGAAGCGACAAGTTGGGCGTCCGCGGTGAGGGTGACATGGAGGAAATCGTGCGAGGAAGAAATGAGAGCTTGTGGGCTGTCGTGGAACCAGGTTGAAACGATTGAAGAGAACGGAGGGCACTGGAGACGTGCTACTGAAGCCCTGTGTTCCATTAGAAACCCAGGGGACAAATAATAATAATAATAATGTCAACTGTTAGTTCAGGTGTCTGATAATGTATTAGCATTATCCTGTTTATTTCTGAAGTATTACTTGAATAGCTGAATCTGCGTTACTTTTAACGGAGCATCATTGTTTCTCAACTACTTTATTGTCATGTTATCTAGTTATATAATTGTCTCTGTGTATGTGTGTGTGTGTTCGCCTTTTTAGGATTTATACTCTATGAATACAATGAAGCGATTAAATGATATGCAGGCTAGCTTAAAACAACTTGGTACAAATCGTTCAGGACGTAAATCAAGTGCTAGAAGTCGTATGTCAATTACACAATTAGGCTTAATCGATTATGATGTGATTAATCAACATGTTACAGCTATATGTGATTTATTGTATGTTAGTCAAGAACAATGACTTCTTTGAATAATAACAACAGGTCAAAGGATAGACAAAGGGAAATGCAGTAATGCCAGTGAAATGAATGCATAGTTAAACAATTTCACAACAGTTAACTATCATCAAACTGGTTGATTTGTATCAAGTTGATTGTTTTGATTAAGATATTTGGTTACTTTTGTTTAATGTTTCTTTAAAAGCCATTCTGTGATGTTTCTACTATTGATGGTGGAAAATAACAATACTGCTGCTGCTACTACTACTACTATTACCTTTAATACTTCTATTACTACTACTACTACTACTACTACTACTACTACTACTACTACTACTACTACTACTAGTAGTAGTAGTAGTAGTAGTAGTAGTAGTAGTAGTAGTAGTAATAATAATAATGTCCCGTATGTACAGTTCCCTACTTTAATAAAAAATTGTAAAACTTTTATTTTTTGCAGAAATGAATGCTTGTTTTTTTGAGCAATAAAGTTTTTTATTGTTATAAATAGTGTTTTCATACCTATATTCTTTTTTCTAACTATTACTTTATGCATTACATTGTGTATCTGATATGCCCTGCAACTCATAAACGGTTCCCCTTACTATGATTTTGTTGATAATCTGTTGATCCTATTGTATTTCAAACTTAGTTCTGCATGAGTACCATATACATGCGTTATATGTTTATTTTACTGTTTGTCAATTGAAACGATATTTGAAGGAATAAAGAATATTCTTTTCACTACTGAATTTATATGTGCCAAAAACCTATTGTTATGTTCTGATTTCAGTACTGTAAACGTATCATCAGTAAGATCAGTAGTGAATACAATCCAATTTACCTGTGACTTAGAAAGTGAAGAAGGTGAGCTAGCAATGCTGGATGGCAAGATTAAACGAACACAAGAAGGAAATCTAGAGACTGGTGTCTATAGGAAACCTACCCATTCGAATAGCTACTTAGACTTCCAATCATCCCACCCCATTTCAGCTAAAGTAGGCCTAGTCAAATGCTAAAGTGATGGAGCGAAAAAGATTACTAGTAGATCGGTAAATCTGAGACAAGAAACTAGACATATCAAGAATACCCTACGTCTTAATAATTACCCACCAAAATTTATCAATAAATTCATGAGAAATCGAAAGAAAAATATTTACAATGGTAGTAGTGGCAGTAGTAATACAGGTGTTATTAATAATAATCTCACTACTAATGGTAGTAATGGCGACAGGGTTAAAAGAGAATTCAAAGCCTCTGTTGTGTTACCATACAATGAAGGCACCTCAGAAGCATTACGAAGAATTCCCAATAAGGCTGACTAGGATTAAAGTGGCTAGTATTTAAACCAACAAATCCACTTAGAAACAAGCTTTGTAGGTTAAAAGATCCTATCGATACAATTAAGCAAAATAATCTAGTCTACCAAATCCTTTGCAGTGATTGCCAGGTCAAGTACATAGGTGAAAGCAGTCAATCTACCAGGCTGGGTCGATTAGAATAACAAAGCACAAAAACTCAGCTAAATCAAGATTAGTAGATCCTAATAAGATAAGAAATCTAGAGAAAAGTTCGCCTATAGCTCTGCATGTGATGAAACATAATCACGCAGTAGGGTGGGATACGGCGACAGTGTTGAAAACTAACTTATTTAGGTGATAACCGAATCTTTGTTTATCAAATCAACACCGAATACTTGTGGTAATAGGAATGATTCTGCACCTGTCCCAGATATATGGAAGAGTCTACTAGCCTTGTCATCATAGAGAAGGAGAGAAAATTAGGAATATATAAAGTCTGTCACAAAGTTGTGGAGTTACCTGATCTGATATGAATATGGACAATAAATTGTGTCCAAAACGTCATCCAGTAAATGCTACTTTTTCACTGTGTGATATTTCTGATAAACAGACTATAATGGAATTACTCTCGACCACATTGTCCAAGTTTTACGCTTATATTAATAAAGAATATTCTTCTCAATAACTTCTTCCTGAAATCTTACAGTTATATATTTTAATTATGTGATTTTGCTGTAACAGTAATGAGACTTTTTATAACAGGTAATTAGTAATATTATACAGTTGTGCAATTCTTTTCAGAAAAGTTTTATCTAGACAATATCAAGTATTATTGAGATTTAATCCAATGCAGTTAGTTATCCTAACTTAGAAGTAGTATTCATCATGGACTGACATTAGTTGGAGAACCATTGAAAATTTGGGAGCACTGAACAGCTGTTTCGTTCTAGTATAGGACTCCTCAGCAGTACGCACCCATGACCCGGCCAGGGGTCGAACTCAGGACCTTCAGGTTTCACGGTTATTCAGCTTATGTAACACTATTTTAATTGAAAATAAATCATATAAACTTCGATGATAAAAGTTATTTTACTAAAGTTGACGGGGGAATTGAAATTATAGTAGTGTGAATGTTAAATTGGATAAACAAAGAAACTTTTATAAAAACAATAAAAGGATGTAGATGAAAGTAGGATAAGATAAAAGTTGTAGATAATTTATAGGAAAAATAGTTTAAAATTTTGAAATTAAGTTAAAGGTAGCGGACACTTAAAGAAATTGTGAGTCTTATATGAGGCCAAGAAAATTGTAATGGTAGATAGAACCTACTTTTTTTTTTAGAACACTTGGATTGTTTAATCTCAATCGCCACAAGTTTTGTAAATTTCAAGATTTTGAAGCCAACTGCCTTTTGGTGGGAACCCGGTAAATAAATAATAGAAAATGACTTGTATTCATTTCTTTCAGTGATAGAATATTGGTCTCCATTCACTTCAACTGTTTCATGTTTAATTTAAAGTTAAGCAACGTGCAATTAAATTAAAGCACTATTTCAACTACAGGCAGCACAGGCACAGACGAGGATGTCAAAGTCAGAATCGGAAACGCAAGACAGACGTTCATTAGCCTGAAACCAGTGTGGAGATCTTCTGCACTCAATCAGCATAAAGCGTGAACAAAATCCGGATTTTCAACACCAACACCAGTCAAGTCAATTCTTCTATATGGTTCAGAGACTTGGCGCGTTACCAAAAGGATTCCCAATAAACTACAGACATTCATCAACAACTGCCTACGCTGGCTCGCTACTGAAGATCAGATAGCCAGAATAGTTAAAATAAGCAAGAAGAAGCTGTAGGAACGAACCAACCAACAACCTATCACTCAACAAATATGCAGAAGGAAGTGGAGATGGATTGGGCATACACTGAAAAGGCCGACTGGGGACATTAAGCATCAGGCCAGTCCCTCGAGTGGAGGTCAAAGGGGAAACAACGAGTTGGATGTCCGAGGCGAGGATGACATGGAGAAGATTGTGTGAGGAAGAAATGAAAGCTTATGGGCAGTCGTGGAGCCAGGTTCGAAAGACTGCAGAGAATGGAGTGGAATGGAGACGTGCTACTGAAGCGGTATGTTCCACTAGGAACCCAAGGGAAAATAGTAATAATAATAATAATAATAATAATATAGTGAGACTGACTGATTCAGAGCTGCTTGATTCTATTTTCAACATGGCTCCACGACAGCTCACAAGCTCTCATTTCCTCCTCGCACGATCTCCTCCATGTCACCCTCACCACGGACGTCCAACTCATCGCTTCCCATGGGGATTCTACTCGAGTACCTGGCCTGACGCGTGATGTCCTCAGTCGGCCTTCTCAGTGCATGCCCAATCCATCTCCACTTCCTTCCAATGCATATTTGTTGCGTGATAACTTCTTGGTTGGTTCTTTCCCACTGCTCCTTGTTGCTTATTCTTATTATTCTGGCAATCCATCTGATCTTCAGTAGCGAGCGTAAGCAGTTGTTGATGAATGTCCGCAGTTTATTGGAAATCCCTTTGGTAACGCGCCAAGTCTCTGAGCTATACAGAAGCAGTGACTTGACTGGTGTTGGTGTTGAAAATTTGGATGTTGTTCATGCTGTATGCTGAGTGCAGAAGATCTCCACACTGGTTTCAGGCTAATGAACGTCTGTCTTGCGTTTCCGATTCTGACTTTGACATCGTCGTCTGTGCCTGTGCTGCCTGCAGTTGAAACAGTGCTTCCTAGATAGGTGGAGGAGGTTAATCCCTTTAAGTTTCTCCTGTTGATGGTGACTGGAGATTGTTGTTGTTGGTTGAGTATCTCCATCACCTCTGTCTTCTCTACATTCACTTGAAGTCCCGTCTTCGCTGCGCTGCCTCGCCTCTTCTGTCAACTTGTTAGTTTTCGCCTGTACATCTTCAAGTTTATGTGACATCAGACACAAGTCATCGTTGGCGAAATCCAGATCTTCTAGGTTCTTTTCCCAGTCCAGCCAGCTTATCCCCCTCTTCCCGCTCCTCACTGTTTGTTGCATGATCCAGTCCAGTTGACCACAATCAGGAATATCATGATTGATAGTAGGCAACCTTGTTTCACTCCTGTCTTCACTTCACTTCAATTGCACCACTGAGGTTCCCATTGTGAATTACTTGACATGTGGCACCTTCATATAGTTGTTGAATGAGGCTGATAAAGGTTTGCGGTACTCCGTAGTAATGAAGCAGTTTCCAAATTACTTCTCGGTCCACGCTGTCAAAGGCCTTCTCATAATCGATGAAGTTGAGGTAGAGTTGAGTTGACTGCCATTCTATACTTTGTTCTATTGCAATTTGTTCCATGGAAAATATATTACATAGAAAATTGGAGTTTTTTTTCCTATGGACTCTGACTCTGAACAAATAAATACTCAAGATTTTTTATCTAGAGGCATCTTTAACATAAGTACAATAATCGATACAATAAAACTGTACCTAAATAATTTTTGTACATAAATCTGTGATTTAAGAAGAATTCTGTTAGCAGATTTCTACAAGTTCACTTATCGAAATAATTTCATGGAGCATTCATTTTCTTCTTTGAGCATGCTATAATTCTAACGTATGGTTTTTTTTGTCAGAATCTACAAAATGTCTGTAAATTCGACTGTTCTTATGAAGCTAGATGCATATTATCTACTAGTGGAACATAATCAAGATT